AGAGAGCCCTTCAGCTTGTTTTGTCTAGTGTGGAGCAGAAGCAATTCCAAGCTACTCACGAGCTCACAGAGTTCGAAAGGGTGATCTTGGCAGAACTCAACTCCAACGAAGCAGGCGTGCTTAGAGACATCTACCACTCGGATTCTAGGCCTAAAGAGAAGATAGGTGACTTAGCGAAGGTTGTCACACAGTTAGGGTTTCGAGAACGGGATCCTAATCCTCAAGCGCTAGGGGTTCTAATATCTGCAGCCGGTACTTTGGTTCAGCAGGTCAAACCGCTGGCTGAGATTTGTGATCCCCGTAAATGTGCACTCGTCCTGTCCGGTGCCTTGATGAACCTCCCAGGTTATCAAGACCTAATCCTACGGGAATGGGACAAGCAACAGCAGCTACCGTTTAAGAAGGTTCTGGTGATTAATGATGCATCGGGTTATGCCGCTCAGTTTCTAGCTAGACAAAATACGATAGCAGAGTAGCCATGACTATTCAACCTATACTTCTTTCCACTTGTAGCTCTCTCGGTGGCACCAGGCTTATGACTGCTAAAGCTATCATATAAACAGACCATTTATTCATCACAATAAACAGCTCATCCATATTGATGAAGAAAGAAGTAGTTGATACTTTTTTGATATGAAAGAAGCCCGGTTTCCAACTGCTATTGTATTCGGTTGAATCTGAATCCTCGTTTCCAACATACAACCGACCTCTGAGGAATAAGACGGATTACCGTTACTTTGTCTTCTGACAGTATCCTGGCACGATGATATCACAAAACTAGGCTACCTACTTTAAAAACGCGAGTATGTGCTTCCTTATGCCTCTGTATCACGAACCTATATGGTATCTAAGGCCATGGTCAAGTCAACATGGGTGATATTACATCTATCAAGCCCTTAAGCGTGTATTTCCAGTTTACTGTTGTCTAGATCAGCACCTGCGCAAAATATCATGCTGGAGAGGTCCTGCTCTTTGGCCCAAATGTCTTCATCTCTCCAACAACCCTTCTAACTCCTAGACATGTGGTAATGACTACATCCGAATCTTTGTGCACAGATAAACGATTGAAGCTTTATAATCGGCAAGCACCTCAGCTGTTGGAACATTTCCCGTAACGCAGCTCGGCGCAGACTGCTGAAGAGATTCCAATTGGAAATCTGCAATAGCTGTTGCCTTATTCTCAGTGTGGGCCACCACAAAGCTGTACCCTGTCTCATGGCTTTTATTATGACATGCTACGATCTAGTACGGTGCTTATTGAATTTGATGAAAACAATGATTAATCTAGTAGCACACATTTGCCATAGTCGTGAGGAGATGGTGTGTTAGTACAGCTCGACCGGAATTAACATCGGACTCAGTAGAGGCAAGAGACGAACGCCCTGGTTTTATTGAAATGAGAACCACGTCGTCATCGTCGGCTCCGTATGAGAATGTCAACACGTTGTTAACTGGTCTTTACTCCTGCCCATAGCGCCCCAATTGGCCCCTTAGTGCTCAGCTACTGCGTTAATTCGGACCCAATGTGTAGGCCGTGTTCCCTTCTTCTCTCCTTCGGTAGGAGTCAAACGAAGCATTTTAACAGCATCGATACGTGCTGGAGGTGCAGGATCGAGAAGTTGGGCTAAGGACATTTGGACGGTTGTATTGTTCATAATGTCCTTTATGTTTCAATGGATTCCCCTCCAATCCTTGAATGTGCGTGCGTTCCTTAGACTCCGTCCTAGTTCGTGGAGACAGAGCAGGTACAGTTTCTGGATTTGCTGGTCCTTCCTGAGATAGTTTCGAAGATAGTCCTGCTTCAGGTCCCCTGTTTGCGGGGCGATGACACCCGAGATCTCTTTCCTTCCGCTGCCTAGGCCTTCTGTAGCGACGAAACAACTTTGTTCCACTGAATTCGGCGCTCACCTTTAAAAACTCCCTATCTCTGTGATAGTGCAACTGGTTTACCGATGTTCGTGTATGTAATCGGGGTGCTGCGCTGCGCTATGTCCTCTTTCTCAAGATCAACAACTTCAGTTTTACACTGAAATGTATTCCTTGTCCCATCCTTTTTAGACTGTATTTAGCCATGTTTCGTTATTATCAAAATTGAGTGCTATTCCGACGATGAACGCTGATAGAGGTTTGAGCTTCCAGTTTGACGGAGTAAAGGGAGGGTACTAGTCCACGAAATGAGTTACCTATAGAGAGAATCAGCTACTACTTATCGCTAAGTAGCGGAATAAAAGGTATGTTTACCGCTGCGCCATGAAGATTCCACTGGTTGCCTTCACCCATGTCACCATCTATGCCACCTCCTGCATATCAACAGCTGGGGAATGATCCGCCCACCGGGATCGTTTGCACTCAATAAGTGCCACAATCTTATGACTGAAGGTATCATCCAGTTAGCCATCTGTATATGTAACAAATTGTCTTTTGCGTCTTACTGTACTAAAGTCTGCTGTCAGCTTGGTTCTATCAGCCGTCTATTGGCGTCTAGACCAAAGAACTAGGTCCGCAATAGTTTGTAAAAAAGGAAACGATGACAGTGTTGGCACTGGCTTCAGAGCTGTTGTCCCGAAGCTTATCCCGAAGTACTTGCTATTGCTGGATAGCTGGAACCCTGACAGTCTATCATTTCCTCCCCAAGCTGCACTCCAAGTCCCCTGACTCTGCCTGGTGGTGAGACCTGAGATATAATCTCTAAATGCTACACCACTCAGGAGTTGATGGACTTGCACCATCCGAGGTGCTATGCCAAGTCGCACCGTCACGAACTGTGTCCGAGTCCTTTACTATTGTGTATGATTAGTTGGGTATCTGGTATCGATATCCCCAGTCGTAGGTCAAGACTAACGGCCAAAGTGATTTAGAGTAGGACAAGGGTTCTCAAATATGATGTCTTGGTTCGAATATCTCTACATAAGACAAATGGATAAATTGAAGATAAAGACTGTGCCCTCCTTATCTGTATCTAGAGAGCGAGTATGATACCAGATGGGTTCTAGAGAGGAGGTGGATTTCTAGCTCTAAGGATAGCCGTCCTCCAGTGAAATCTGAGCTACTTTTTTTCTCCATACTGTGAATCATGGATTGAATGTCATTACAAATGTTAATCGATCCGATGAATAGAGCATGTCACCGATAGTATTCACCCAGGGAGCGGGGGACATGACCTGGTTCAGTCTTTCACCCTCTGCGATGTCGCAATTAGGGCTAGGCGAAGCACACCCCAATCGTACTATACGAGTATACCACCCAATATAATAAACTTCTAAACTTACCTTTAATACGCACCCGGCATTCCAGAATACGACCAATCCACAGCGCAATACCCACCGTGCCGTCTAACCCAAAAGAAGACGATAAGGCCGCCGCAAACCTGCCAAAACAGGAGTCATCCAGCACCCCGATTGCCCAAACCCCAACACAAAACAGCACAAAGAAAACACCAGAAAATAAAGAAAAAAAAAAAAAAAACCAAACAACACACGTGTGCCTCTGCGCCCCACACAAGACAATCCCGAACAAGCACCGAAGCTCCAACAATCAAAAAGAACCAGGCTAAGTGGGCCCCAACCCAAGAAGCGGTAGCGAACCGAACAACCAGGACCAACTTTAACAGCGCACTCGCCCAAGATCGATCAATTGACCCAAGATTTCAAATCTCACTCACCGTCCGTGAGCCAGCAAATCTCTGGTACCGATCTCCATCCCAATCTCATCGTCTCAGGTCCCAGGACTTGCGTACCGATCAGATCCATGTGGCCCGTCCTGTGCCTGGTGTGAGATCTTATCTTCAGACTTCCGGGCTTCCCGCAGCGTGGGTCAGATTCGCTTCCGTGTAGTATGGCTTTGGGACGTATTGTCCCGTGCATTGTTGCTAAGAGAAAGAAATTTTCTGCTCTCGGGGTCTGATAAAGCTTGACTCGGTGGAGAAGGATCTGAAACCAGGATGTTTCTTGGCTCTTTTTTTTCTCTTTTTTATCCTCGCTTTGTTTGTCCTCCTTCTTTCAGCCTCAGCCTCAGCCTCATTGAGATGTTTGCCTGTTTACCCGTGTGCTGTTTTCATTGAGTCTTTTTTTAGTATACAATGTTACTTGCCTTTGTTCGAGGTGGTGCAGGGCACAGGGCACCCTGCGTGTCTATCTCTTTTCTTAGAAACCCATTGCATAAATTAAGGTAGCCTACATGCATACAAGGGGTATGGTAGTACTAGTAGGTAGCAAAGCTTAAGCCAAATACAACACGCCCATACACACTCACACAACTCCCATTATTCAGCGGAGATGCAAGTGGATTTCAGATCTGCATCTGATTAAATTTCAGGATCAAGGCTACGTCATTTTCTTCCCGGTTCATAATCCTAGGGACGATAAAGAAAGGTGGCGAAAAAAAAAAAAAAAAAGGTGAAAAAAGACAAGTATCAGAATACGTACATACTACCTTGGTAGACTAGGGCAAAAGTCCCAACAACCCGAACGCTCCCCAAACGGAAACCCCATCGCGAACACGCTGACAGTGCCGATCATGGAATCCAGATCGAAGTCCCACACGGACGAAACGAGCCCTAAGCCCAACTCAGAGAAGAAGACCGAAGAGCCGCTCGTGTCGGGCAAGTCCAGACAGGAGAGGCAACCCCCGACGCGGGAGTCGTGGAATACGAATCTGGTGGACAACTGGTGGCAAATTTCTTGAGGCTGAGACGTGGGAGACTGACTCGAAGTCCTCCCGCTGCTGAACCCTGGACACGAGGTGTTGTTGTGGGGGGTTGGTTTCCTCGACTTGGGGATTGATAATGGATACGGCGTGGATGACGACGGAAGGGGAGGAAGGATCAGGGAGAATTTCCACTTCCAATCTCCCCAGCCGTGCGACTTATTCATGCCAATGTAACGTGACAAGGCTCTGTATCTCAGATGGGGATGGGGTTCGCTTACAAGGGAAACTGCATGTGGGTCGTTCGGCTCGGGATTCAATATGGTATCATTTAATTTACTTTGAGAACGGGATCAGAATTCAACTTCTGTAAATTTTTGCATCCAATTGGGTATTGAGTATAACCGGCCCCGTTCGGCCCACTCCAGGAGGTACCGTCAATGAACTGAGTCTTCGGCATTATGATACAGGAATTGAAATGTCTTCAAGGTGGATGCGCTCCATATCAACTGGAGAGTGTGAGAGAATCAGGTTCAAAAAAAAAATTAAGCCAAGAAAGCCGCCGCCGTAGAATGATGAGACGAAATCAGAAACCCCAACGCCTTGAACGCTCAACAGGAAAACCGCTGCACAATCCGTGTATAACGAGGGAAACCAAAAATAATGACAGGAAAATAAGGAGAGGTATCAAAATGAACAAATTCTTCCAAAGGAGGGTAAAATTAGGTCAGGGAGAGAAGCCAGACGTGTCGTTGCAACGTGCTGAAATTAAGCATTAAGACTTTTGATGGTGGACTTCCGCTTGGATCCGAACATAAACCCCATGAAGCTCTTTTTCCCAGACGGGTCGAAAGACTCGACGGTGGACTGCCGGATGCGTCGTAGACTCTTCTTTCGCTTAACTTTCTGCTGGAAATCGGTCTCCGCCACATCCCGTGGGTCCAGACTGCGGACGCTCTCGACCTCAGACCGGAGACTGCTGGACGAGTAGATGCTCGAGGACGTGGAGGTTTTCTTCAAGGGTTGTCGGAGTGGTGTGGGGGCGCGACTATAACTGGAAGTGCTATAGGTGGAGCCAGATCGTTCACGAGTGAAAGAGGGTGAGGAATAATATGGAGAAGGGCTGGCGGGACGAGATGGCGGGCAACTGGACTGCAATGGAAATCCATGTACAGATTTGGCACTCGAGTGAGTGTAAGACATCGACCTCGTCCGAGAGTCGGCATCAGCGCTGGTAGGGGCTTGACGGCTGTGAAAGAACGGAAGACTCGCGCTGCTCAAACTCTTGATTGATGGCGGACGGCGGAGAATATCCGTAGGACGACGGGAATGCATCTCTGAAGACGCTTTTTCCGACACAGCAGTTGCAGGGCGTGGGAATGTCATCCCGTGCATAGGAAGTGTCATCGGAGAGGGCAGTTCATGCACCTCGAGTGGTGAGCTGACGATGGGGCCCGATGCCACCATGGGTAGCTGCTCAAGATCGCGAGTAGTCAGGAGCATACTGCCCCGTTTTAACGCTTCCTTCTTCGTGGGGGTTTGATCCCACTTGTTCCATAGTAAAGGCTGAGAAGCTGCTGCCCGTCGATGCGAGTACAACCCCTGAGAGCCGCTATCGTTGGAATGATCCTTGGTAGTATTAGGTGTAGGAGTCGAGTCCTCCAAAGGGGAGGGTGGGTGTTCGGAGACTGGGCTGATTAGGATTAGATTAGGCTTTGCAATTGGTTCAACGATCTTGACCTGCTCCGCTACGAGCAGGCCCGAATCCTCATCATCAGAATACACCGATGCCGAGGACACCGAGGCGAGCGATTGAGGTCTCGTCGACACAGGGGATTCCGAGGGAACATATACACTTGGAGGCAAGAAGATGGGAGATTGCAGGGGAGATGTAGCGTCCGGGGACGGAAGCTCAATGATCACGTCGTCATCATGTTCAAAAATGTACGAGTCGGCTACGAATGTCGTAGCACTGCTTCGTTTGATAGTGTCCATTGATACAGGGCGCGACGTTTTCCCGGAGGATGAATATGTAGGCAGTAGTCGAGGAAAGCCGGGCCTCTCAATCTCGGACTCGTTGATGTCAGAATTTGATGGCTCATAAGCCTCCACGGGAGAGAAAGCATGGTCGTGTCCACCCATTTCAGACTCCGAGATATCCTCCTCGTCCGACTCGTACCGCCGTGGTAGGTGCTGCTGGTTGATATAATCCAAACGAATAGGCCCTGCGGTGTCGTACATAGTCTCTTCCACTAACCGTTTCCAAGATAGAGCAGGACGAAGCTGAAAGGATATCAAGTTGATTATAAGAAAGAATGGCAAGTAGAAAGGCTGTTAATGATCGGGTACGCGATAATGAGGTAGTAAGGACGGCGACGCCAATAATGATAAATGTCACCGGATACAACGGATGATACACTCACGGTATCATCGACAATAACAAATGAGTGTGCGAACAAAAGCAGTAAAAAATCAACATAGAAGGACCAGAGACGAAAGTAGGGGGAGGGTCGCAGGTGAGGAAGGACAGGGACGTCAAAGAGTGAGACGGATACAGGTGAGATATATCTAAGAGCAGACAATCATCCTTTTCTTTTTTTTTTTAATTCCCTTTTTTTTTCCCTTTTTCTCCTTCTCCTCCTGTCCCACACGGGTTGGTATGCTCTAAAAGAAGTGGATCCCCTTGTCTCTGAAGGTTTGAACAGGGAGGAGTGGAAAAATAGCCACCCTCGATGCCATCAGATCACACAACCCTCGGAACGGAGGACGGACCACGCACTACATTGATCTCCACCGGGCGGATTATCCGTTGTAATGAGTGGAGAGAACGAAGGAAAAAATGGTAGGTATGTCTGGTCAGGACAAGGAAAAAGCCGTGCACACGTGGAAACTCTTTGGGAAAGCGTGTTTTTCTGGTAATTTTGGTTTTTCTTTTTTCCTTTTTTCTCCTTCTACTAACTGATTTATTGTATTCTCCATATATTATTATGATCATGGATTAAAAGAAGAAAACATAGAATCAAATGAATCCATACAGTATTTTACAGTAATCCTCTATTTTTATTTAATTTAATTTTATTTTATTCTATTTAATTATATTTTATGCTACTCTATTTGATTTGATTATTTTTATAATTTCCCTTACCGGTTCTCTCCTGCAAGCCGACGAGTGGACCGCTGCCTCAGGATCTCACTTCAGGTTTAACCCTTGCATTTGCAGAGTTCTTGACTAACACCCGAGCTAACCCTACATTGGTGACAAACGACCAAATACCAGAAATACCTGGGACGCAACACGAGAGAGAGCCGCTGGAAATAAGCTCGGCTATCTCCTGCCGGCGTAGCGCGTTACAATTCAACGCCATCCGGGCACAAACGAATAATGAAGGGGAAACAGACCGGGGGAAACTGGTGGAATTTTAGCTTTCTGTCCTGCTTTACACGACACCCTGGTTCGTACTTGAGAAGCGGAGGTAATCTTAACAAAAGAAAAAAAAATATAACGAGAGAAAAAAACACCAATGACGAGAGGTTCGAGTCGGGGGAAGAATTGACGTATCAACGTGAGCTGTCGACAGGGAAGGTCAATGCAGTGAGTGACCATGGATGGACGGAGCTTCTTTTTAGGGCCAACAACTTTGGCGGCAACATCTAGATTACTTTAGTATTACTTAGTGGAGATCATGTGCGTCTTCCCCTTTCGACGGTTTAAACCGTTTGGCAAGCCAAATTTTCTCGTCTTGTTCCTCTTGCCGATCGACGATTTGGGATATGGTATGACTGTTCATTGGATGCGTTGGCTAAGGGGGTTTTTTTTTTCTTCTCTGCCGAAAGATTAGTAGGGAGCATGTGGAATACGGCATCTTCCCATGGAACAAGAAGAATTTTCCATTTAATCTATTGTCGTCGGCCGATAACTCTCTCGATATTGTTTTAATATGCTTCTTCATAAAATGGGCTACTATCGGTACTATATCATGGACTATCGAGAGTGCTTCCGGGCAAACGTCTGTGCTGGGAGGGTTTCGTCTCCTGTCCTATGCCACATGGGGTAACATGCCGTGAGAGACTAAGTCACTTAGAGTGCCTTAGATTCATGTTTGGCCGTTTGTTATTGATAGAGAACGGAACTGTGAATCAAGTGAGGACGCCCCACTAAAAACAAGTGGGGAAATGTTGCAGCAAATAAAAGAGACAGAAAAAAGAAAGAAAGAAAGCAGGCAACTTGGCCACGAAAGTTTCGAAACCCATGCGATTGTCGGATCGAAGCCAAAAAGAACAAGAAATGGAATTTTCTCAAACAATGGTGAACAACCTTCGCCATGACCACCCTCCGATCATCCCCAATTATCATGTATCAGAAAGTCAAAGGACTCCTCCTGAATGGGGACCGGAGCCACAGAAAATCACCTCCTAGGGCCACCCAACTCAGGGAAAGCTGCCAAGATCTCCGTTGCTGCACCACGGTGGAGCATCTCTAACTCAAACACACCATTTTGAGCATTAACCCCAAAGGAAGCACACTAGTTTGCTCTTCCCGCCTTGGAGTTCATTCGCATCAGCAACCTATGGAAATTTTTAGTCAGGTAATACAACCAAGGCCTGTGTTTTCCCCATGGTGGACGAGGGACGAAAAGAGAGAGAGAAAATTCTCCGATTTGCACAACAAATAGGAGATTTTTCTTCTCGGCACCCCCAGCAATAGACTCGAACCCCCCTACTGTTTGACTCGAACCCTTGCAGTCCTGTGTGTTGGTCTGTAACAAGAGGGAGAATTCCCCCACAACCTGCTCTTTCGGATATGGGATCCGAAGGGAACCGAGCTCAATGGTTCGTGGAGTTAAAAAAGAATCAATAGTCCTATATATATCACCATGCTACGTCGTGGGTGGTTGACAGCTTCACCGACTTTCGAAACTCTATACAACATCTTGAAGGTGACATGCAATAATTAGGGCACGGAGGCGAAATTACCCGATTTGGCAGACTAAGACAAGAGGAGGCTGGCCACCATGATCGTCGTCATCAATGCATAACCAATCCTCTGATCTTCATAAAATATACACCACGGGAAAACAATCAGGAAATAAATAAATAAATAAAAGGGAAGCCAAGGCAAGCGCGGCAGGTCCAACGCCCCCGTTGAACTGCAGGAACACGATTCTGTTGCAAGGTGAAACAATCCCGAAAGCGCATGGACCAAGGCATACACCATGGTTTCGTTTCTTTTTTTCTTTTTTTTTTTTCGCGTTCTTATCGGTTAAACGGGAGATATTTCGGAGACATACGAACTCTATGCCCAGATACAGGGACAGTCATCGGGTTGAGATCGTAGTATACATACATGTGGCTGGAAGATTGAGCGACATACATGATGCGCGCTCTTTCTGTGAACCCTGTACGGAGGGGTAGCTGCAAGTCTGACTGCATAGTTACACGTATGTAGGTGTGTAGGACCACGTATGTGCCGTCCAGCATCGAGCGGGCAGAATCGACTTTCGCTAGAGTCGTACAGACATGCTTCTCCCTTGCGTTGGGGTTTATCGAGTTGTCGCTCAAGTCCAGCCCGCCAGATGGCCCAACCCTACAGCAATTGCAACCTGATACAGCAACGATCGCCCGCAAACCTGCCTAACCATCAAGGAAATGCCTAGGCAAGATGGAGTTTAGACTTTCCCAGATCGCTTAAATCAGTAGATAGTGACGATGATACACGTATCATCTGCATGGTGATATCGTGGCGTCTGAGCACTGTCCCCAGCCATCACCGACCTGCGAGCTTCCCCAGACGCTCAGATGGACGCGAAACTTACATGCAGAGCGATGGGCAATTCAACTACCAGGCCGGGTAGGAGACGACAGGATCAGAAAGAGAGCCAACATGGTAGGTACAAAGATAGCATCCGGTCTGGCACCAGGATGAGAGATAAAACTCATCGGTAAACTTTCTTCCCCTCCACGGCTTGCGATTTTCCTCCCCAACCCCACTTCTCGTCAGGCCTTGCAATATCCTTGCCAAAAGCCTCAATTGTGGTTGACTAACGGCAACTCTCTTGTTCAACGTCAGCTTCCCCACTATCCCTACCCTTCGTCGACTGGTAACAACCTGAACTCAACACTCGCTACCGTTCGGACTTGGCTGGAGAAGACCCATCGTCGTAGGGATTCGTCAAGTGTCCATCTACCAATGACCATACAGCCGAGAGATTAGCGTGATAATTGAGCATCACCGCTGCAACCTCAGGGTGGCCGTAGTCATGTTCAGCTCTTATTTCACAAAGTAGGCTTACAGTTACATAGCGATCATCACAAGTCATTTGCATACCCTGTCCTATAACCACACGCTACTAGCAAGGTAATCAAATGGCATAAGGCCAGAGGCAGCCCAGTAAAACCCGTAATAATCGCCACATCTCGCCTTACAATCTGCAGCCAGAATTTACGGCACATAGCAAACGCTATTGTGATAAGCCCTGTACCCCAGTTGATAACCGAACCGCATTATTGGCAATGCAACGGTACGGGTTCCTAGATATGCAGGACTAGACGGAAGCCAAGTTCAGGGTCAGGCACAAGGCACCGACAGTGGCGGCATGGCAGGCACCCAAGGGCACGACTCCCGACGGGCGCTACGGTATCTTGCACCGTTTATTTCGTTCATGATTAGTAGATAAGAATCGAGGATGGAGAAAGGGCAAGTCAGAGAATGCATCTATGGTATGATGGTGCCGAATAGTGACAGGGGTTAAAAGCCGAGTCAATGCCGAAATTACCCTAGACAGGGAGCGGGAAAACGCGCGCCCTTCATACTGACAACGACGAGGGAGAGAATTTTTTGTAGACATTGTTCGCGGATCCTTCATTTCTGTTAAGGATAGGGATTGTAAGGTATAGAATGCAGGCATGGACAGGGGAAGAAAGACTCCTTTGCTCCGGTTCCATTGCCTTGTGTCATTTCTGGTCTGTGTGTGATGTGATGTGATATGAGATGAAGGGCCAAGAGCCAGGAAATTATCCTGACAGCGATGATCTTGCCGAATGCAGCGTAATCCGAGGAGATCATCGTCTCTTGAGGATTCGTCCCGTCTTCTTTTCTTCATCGAGCTAAGACGACACTACCTTAACCCCGGACAGCCATGGAAGATAATCTCCGACGAGGCAACGACTCAATAATTTGCCTTGTGTTGGCTGACCGACTTTCGACCAGGGGAGCTCTGCGATTAATAATAGGAAATTTCCCAAGCTAGTTATAGTTAACTACTGCTAGCAGCAGCACTAAAACGGCGACTTGTCCAAATAGGAAATGGACGATGGAAAGCCATATGATCTGATCTTCATCCTGGTGGGCACATTGCAACGGCGTTTACCCGGACAATAGGAATGGCACCATTGGGGGAGGGGCGAATGTCATATCCACCGTCGTTTCCTTAGTGCCCTCGCGCATCACACTGACAGTCTTCGCAGAGCGAGTCGGAGCGACTCCGGGTTTTCCTGAGCGTCTCACGTGATTGATCCTTAAGCAGACGTCCTTTACCACTCCAGGACACGCACGTTCCAACTAGGCCTTGGTTGTCTTGAGACTTGACGGTCTCGCTATATCGCTCGAGAATCGCCATAGACGACTTCGTCGAACCTCCCCACTACTCGGGTCAGCCTGCACGCGTCCCGTTGAGGAGCTGTCTCAGAGGATTAGTATTGTGCAGCTATCAGCAGGGCAGTACCTATATCCGTGATTATTCTTCCATTCCGGGCCCACCACGTCTATAGCAAGAAGTTGTTTCACGACATCGAGCCATAACTCGGATGAGATGAATCGGCATAGTATGCTTGACGTCTTTTACATTTGAATCGACACCTTACAGTGAGAAGCTGCTATACGATCCCTGTATGCCCATGGCGAGCGACCAGCAGAAGACTGCGTCCGCGGTTGTCTTTCGAAACCAAATCCACACTCTTAACAGGAAGAAGGGCATACGCTTCCGAAGCCCCCGGTGATTCTAAATCTCGAAAGAACATAGTCATGGCCGAGGTCAATCTCATCTGCTCCTGACTGGCGGTCCGTACACGCACAGTGCGCTCGGTGCACGATCAGCAAACTCAGTGTCACATCCGGCCTAATGCGGAAAGGGCAAAGTCGCCAAGATGTCATATCATATTCAGGTACCAGATCCACCGCATGGATTTCTTGCTCGAAGTCAATAAACAAATATTGACTACAAGAACATCTTGGAAGGAGAGTTTCAGATGCCAATAGTGTCCAGGATTATTGGCTTCAACTATGGTCCGCTGGAATGGTTAGCCGGTATGGACATACTCCGTGTACTCCGTGTATGTGGAAGCTTCAGGACAGATAGTGTTCTCCGGACTTCGGAAGCAATTTAAAAATCAATAGTCCTCTGAGGCTCTCCACCAGATATCCACCTCGAAGTCAACGGGACTTGCTATAAATAAACTTTGAGCAAATGGGAGAAAGAGCCCTAAAGTGCGAGATGTCATATATATGATCTGATCTGTATAAATCAAACCTCGGTTCTCACGGCATTGAGCCACTGACTTATAAGCGTCTGTGTTAATTAAACACTAATCATCCGTGACAGTCGCCCTTGCCTAAATGTATTGAGACTGTGATCTGAGTTTACGTCTCGGTCGTTCAAGCTTCCACAGTTGTTGTGGATGGTTCTCCGTCATTGGTGGACTCCAGGTTCGACCATTGTAGAATGAAACGGTAGCTTACTTAGTAGGCGGTGATTTCTTATCCCCTTCATCTCAGGCCTTGCTGCGGGCATGGGAACTCACAGGGAAAACATCAGCGTCCGCTCATTCCCAAGAGATATCAGGTTTCTGAGCACAAACCCAAACGGGATATCATAGTCAGACTCAAGATGCCACCCTATCAACTCTCCGGATCACCCTATACTTCCGATAAATGCCTCTAACAAGAATGATAGATGACAAGTCTCATATAATCCCTTGCATTGACCTCGGACAATCTACTTATCAGCCATGAAATATACGGAAGCATACGGAGGGCATAACTCTCTTCCCCTGGATAATATCTCTTTTATGCGCATTATCACTCTAAACTATCATGTGCCAGTGATAACTGTACTGTTTACTCACCGCTATGTCTATGGAGGGTCTTCCTCGCTCTCTTGGAATTAGTCCAGCACCCTTGAAATGAAGATGGCCCGCTACTACTCTGGACTTGAGCATAGAACACGAAACTTCATGGCATATCATCCAAGCCCTTGGACTCTTTTCTCTCTCAACAAGCAGCCTTTGGCTCGTCCATCTCCATATGAACCATACTACCTTTATTACTGACCCATGTATGCCATGCACATCGTACACTGCTTCTCACTCTATCACAATGGCCCCCAAAACTCTCCTCAATCTCATAAACATCCTTCTATTCAACGAGACCATCGACTGTATGAGCCAGAAAGACCCGGAATACTAAGAATATATCCAGTTCGAAATAAGGTACACGTACAAAAGACCAACTAAGCCAATACCCCAAGACGGACAACATTATCATCACACAAGGAACTATCATTGCGGTAGGAAGATATCACCTTCATCAAAACCCCAACCCCAAAGTCCCTCGATATTCCCATATTGGACGTCGATAGTAGAAAAAACTTCTGAACTTCTTCCTCTGTGCGGTGGTATTCTAACTAGATACTCGACCTCGCTTCTTGAGAAATGGCTCTTCTACCTTTGGTTTTGATTTTTTTTGATTAAAATCCGTACACTTTTCTCTTTCTCTTCTAGTGTTGTATTATCCAGCTTCTGTAAATATATTTCTACTATACGTGGCGTAGATTTACAGTCTGTTTCGTAGACTCGCATTCGATCCTGCATCTGCCTATATATATCAGTAGGGTGCGACTTAGCACGACTAGTAATGAAAAGCCCCTCTATCAAACGTGCCACATATTCAAAGACCAGGTGGACTAATTATTCGACTCTATTCTGAGGGGACTAAATGAAGGTATTAACTCTTTTGCGTTTGTGTGCTTCGGATCTTGGTTTTGTTGATTTTTCCCCCCACCTCGTAGTCTGTATGACTCTATGTATTATGGAATATCGAATGTCTAGTGCAAGTGTGACATGTACCTACAGTGAGACTGGTCTCCTTATGGTCATAGTCTATGATTTCACAAGATATCGCATATATCAACATGTTCTTAGTACATTGCTGATGTTGGGGGTTTCTCGGCGATTCAACATGACTACAAGGGTCTGGGTAAGAGAATGTCTGCACATAATTCAGGAAATGTAATAAAAATATATACATTAGCAATAATATTCAAATATTTTTCTGTTCATCTGGTAAAAGAAAGCACACATGACCATGATTACATTTAAGTTTAGCTGGCATCTATAAAACTTCACAATGGTGTAAAAAGACATTGATAGGGGAAAAGAAAAAGAAAAAGAGACGGGTGCAACCAGCAGCACCCGGCAGAAGACATGATAATAAAGGTAAAATACAGACTGGGAACAATCGCAGTAACTTGGGCCACTTCGATGCGTTCCCAGGCAGAAGAGAACCCTTCACACATTAGCTGGAAGCTGGTATTGCACAATCATATGCAGCAAAGCGACATTGACGTGCATCATGGTCGCGAAGTGAAGGCGACCAATATCATAATGGTCATACATTAAACAGATAAAACATTGAGCACCAGATTAAACGGTTGAAGATGCAAGTCGAGAAGGATCTCGTTTGTGGTGTCTTTCGCCAGGGTTAGGCAAAAGATCCCATGAGAACTCGAACGGGACCGAAGCGAATATAACTCCTGGAACGAGATTCTGCAGGCCCTCCCGTGGGCCCTCTGACGGTATGATTATACCAAGCGGATCGCTCCATAGGTCGCGCCAAAATCATTCCAAAATGCCAAAGGGATATGGACTTAGGCCTTGCGGGAGCGGGTGACGGGGCCGTTGGAGCGGCCAGAAGCGGTTGCCGCTCCGTTCGACTTGGCGCTGCCGTTGGCTGCGCTTCCGTTGGCAGAAGGGACGACCTCCATCTTGGCCATATCGATCACAGCCTGTCTGCCAGTGTTGCGACGGGGACGGCCGGTCTTGGCTGCCTTGTTGTAGGTAGCGATGTAGAAGGAAATGAACAGGAACAGGTAGGAGCTCAGGATGGCCATTCCGGCGAAGGCAGCGAACTCCTCTCCAGCGCACTTGCCCATGTTGGGTGCCGAGGGGAAGTAGGTGGACGAGAAATAGGTGTAGGATGCAAAGTAGACAAAGCCTAATGTGTGATTAGCAGTGGTCCCTCCCCAACGTCAACGGCCATGTTACTTACCAAGGTCGATCACGAACTGGATGATCTGGAGACGGGTGATCCACTCCTTCCACCAGATACGGATGCCACGGGCGCTCTGGAAGTAGTACCAGTACATGACCACGTGCACCAGAAGGTTAATGGTGATAGGAACCCACTGGACGGCGGTCAAACCGATAAGCTGGGTGTAGCAGAGGAGAGCGGTGGCACCGTGGTGGTAGGTGTGGAGGAAGGTCAAAGGCTTCTTCTTGAGGAACAGGAAGACAGTGTCGATGAGTTCCAGGTACTTGGTCAGGTAGTTGAGCTATGTACGCGTCAGTATTCCCGTCATTGGTCTGAATCTCTCATCGTCGCGGCACTAACATAGTATAGAACAATCAGGGGCTGGGTCCATCCACCGTCGTGGTCGCAAATGGCGAAGAAGATTCCATTTCTCCAGATGGTGGGCAGAAGCTGTTCAATGAAAAGGGCCAGCAGAGTCGCACTGATCGCAGTCAAGTAGAAGTTGTGGATCATGAACAGGGTGTTGAGCTTGAGGGCAGGAAAATTCTTCATGACCATACGGCCTCCGAAGATCACGACGTAGTAGGTCACGAGCATCGCGGCGGTTTCCCGGAAGCCGGACATAGGAGTCTCTCCCTCGACAAACTTGAACTCGCTGGCGGGATAGCCCACGACCTTCTCGAACGCCTGGTCGAAGATGGGCCAGAGGTGGATGCCAAACGGCCGATCAATCGTCGGACGGGGCACATTCTGTAAGAATTCGAGCGCCATTGTGAATGGTGAGGCCGAAACACGGAAATCGAGTGTATATTCAACCAAACAACAACAGTCCGCTAGACAAGTTGCCGCCAAAAAAAAAAAAAAAAAAAAAAAGCCCTGAAAACTACAGATGCTTTTTTTTCGTTTTTCTCGTCGGGGCTGCTGAAAGGCAACCAGTCAAAACAGCACAAGGAATGACAAGAAGGGGAGAGGGAAGGAAGGCGCAAGAGAGGGACAAGAAGAGAGAGAGGAGGATATTAAAGGAACAGAAAAGAAGAAGAGGCAGAAGAAAAGAAAAAGTGGACTGGGGCTGGGTTGACAAGACAAGGAGGTGGAGGAGGAAAAGCGACGAAACAGCAGGCGCAAGGAGATTCGAATCTTCTCCGCGTGTCGTTTTTTTCTGGTTGGGTCCCTTTTTGGTTTCGCCGGCACGTCCGCAGGGTTCGGCCAATCAGGGGACACACCTCGGTCTTGATAAAAAGGGGCGGCGGTTCGTTAGGGCCCGCGGATCATGTGCCTTCCCGTGGTTCCGGAGTCCCTCAGGCTTCGACTATTTGCTTCCTTTGTCTGCTCTGGTCGGATTTCCTACAACTCCTACCGACATGGACCATAATTCAATTGTCCGGACGCTTGGGGTACGGTATGCACAGGGAGTAGACTCACTCGACTTGCCACGTATTGGCAAATTCAGATCCAACAAACAGCGAACAGACCATCTGGATTTTCACATGCACGTACTCCAGGAGAATTCCATGGTCACGACTAGTCCCAGCCAGTCCGATGGAGTCCAATTTCACGTCCATCAGATCTACCAATTAGGGCCCGCCAAGTCATGGGAGCTCAATAATAGATGAGCCTCTCAGCCTACTAATTATCACTAGTCCCACTGACATTCATCTCCTCATTACCCGCCGCAATTTCTTGACATGGACCATGTTTACTTCGATCTAGCATATTCTTAACAGCATTTTCATGGAATTTGATTGAAGATTCATTTAGTAAAGGGCGTTAATTTTCTGGATTAGAGTAAGTGATCTTTGTAAATATATATAACTCCACAGTGCAGATATATATATATATATATATATACACTTTGATAGTGCCTATTTCATTGTTATATATTTCTCGCCGTAAACTCTACAAGTCGGTCCTGTGTATCCTCAATCAACCTTTACACCTCATTAGAACAACAAATGAATCCACATGCGAAATATGAACTAAGTTGAGTTTTCTTATAATAGATTGTAGTTGAGTGGTTGCCGTGGTGTAGAATCGACCAACATTCTACCGTGCATGCGCGTCATAGACATCGTGCAGTAGACCGTAAAGGAACTCTATTTAAGGGAACACCCCCGCACAGCATTAATGAACTCTGCCTCGCCGAATGAGCTTTCCGACTGACGCAAAGCTACATCGAGCTTGATGCTTATGGGAAAGATGCTCAATCATAAAATGTCATATATACTAATGTACATCAAACTATATATAAAAAGATATCGCTCACATCCTACAGTCGGACAACCTGTGCAGATTCCTGGAGCAACTCATGGCCAACCTTGAGTTCCAGGGGTTTGCCTAACAACTCTGGGGCCTTCTTGATGAGATCCTGGAAGTATGGTGCAGCTCGGTGCTTGTCCAAGGCAGCTTGGTTCACATATCTAGTAATGTTCTTGTCAATAAAAAAATTGAAGAAAGACAACGGGGAACTAAAGGATAGACTGACCTCTCAACGACAATGATCTCTTCCTTCTTGGCATCGGCGTAGGCATAGTACACCAGAGTCTCGGGTTCGTTTTCTTGCACGTTCCGGGTGATGTTGGCCAACTCAGCGGCGAGCTATACGGTGGACAGGATTATTAGCTTCGATTCTCAAGTTTTGATTGGAGTGTCTCTCATCTAGACCAAAGTGCTTTATGCTCGATCAGATGGCAAGTCGATGGGCACCTACCTCGTCGAACTTTCCCTCCTTAGGAGTTAGGATGGCAATCTGGTTGATGACCGCGGACGCCATTTTATTCGTTGAAGCCGTAACGAGGAATTATGTTATGGGATAGATACACTTCTGACGTAGGAAGGCAGGATATGTTGATGAGAGAGATTTTGAATCTATCCTACATCTTGATATAAATACCTCGCTAGTACCTCGGTATGCCGAGGACGATGATGAATCGATGCTGATAAATGGTTGGGTTCAAGGGCAGATTATTAATCGTAGATCCACCATTCTCAACAAAAAGTCTCCGAAAGCTTGAAGGATAAGAACAAGCGGAGGGGACTACGTTTGGCTCAACCAGTGTAGATATTTCGTGATGTTCTTGAACCTGATGTCATCTTTGATTGTCAACCATCTTATCTCGAGTCATCCAGGTTGTCGCCTCAGGCATCACGATATAACGGGCCAGACCACTGTGGCTATTTTTGGTCTCCCAGTTTACAGGTGAAGTAACTGGGGAATTGAGCTTCTTCATGAAGAGTATCTTATCAGATCATCGATCCTGAGAATTGGGCCAATTCGGGAGCCAAGTATCATCTCCCATGGTGACCTCTCTTCCCAGCGTTATTGTCAACGCGCAATTCGACCTTGTTTGTTTTATATAGCCGATAGCCTGGAATTTCCCAGGGAAACACAGAGACAGTCAGTCTATAATCTTAACTTATGCAGCCACACGGAAATACAACTTTATGGCTCGGAAAATTGTTCCTGGTGGGATCATGTAATGAGAATGGGATTACGCAATCCCTTAGGTAGGTTGTAGACGAGTGACGAGCGAAAGTGATTGGTTGAGTGGTGGAATCTGTCTTGATAATTTTATATTTCCACTTTTACTATGTTCGTCAGTTCTTAGCATTGGAATTGGTTGTTGTTATCCCCAAGTATAGTAGTTGTCAACGATTGACCAGAGATAATGCCAATACTACAATGAGGCTGTTCCATATCGAAGGATGGAAGCACCGGAACAGTCGAACCAATCGCCGCCCAGAATGGACACGAGTATGTTTCAACCAATCAGGGCCAAGAAAAACAAATCACGAGCCGGAACGAGCGAATGACAGTGGTCGCAGCCTCAGGCCACGGTCGGGCGTGAACGGGAGCCGCCAAAGGAATCGATGACGGACGACCGCTTGCGAAAACCTGAGGCACCCACCGCCTCACACCACCCGCAAAATCCTAGCGCAGCCGTCCTTGTCCTCTGACTTCAACCTCGTCCACACCTTGCCCATCCTCCTCTCCTCACACCACGTCAATTCGCCCGCGTCTCCATTCCAACCCCCCTCACAATGTCGCCCGTCTCTGTCTTCCGTGTCGCGACCCGCGCCGTCCGCCCTGCCAGCCTCTTCAGAGCTCCCCAATTGCCCCGGTCCCGCCTGCAGACCCCGGTTGCTCTCGCTATCAACCGTCCTGCCTTCAGCACCACCTCCAAGCGTCTGGGCGGCCACCACGAGGATGAGACATACGAGGAGTTCTCTGCCAGGTATGCCAACCCAACCAGCGAGCCATTGAGCCCACGACGAGCCGAGAGCGAGCCTTGAACAACGACAGCAGGGGCTCGATCCGGTTGGCCGTAATCTCCCTGACGCCTGCTGTCGGGATCTATCGCCGAAAAAAAGAGACAAACAGCAAGGACTTGCATTCTCACTAACGCTTGCAACGTAACAGATTCGAGAAGGAATTCGACGGTGTCCAGGATGTCTTCGAGCTCCAGGTAAGCCAGGCTTCTCTCGCACAGATCATTCAGATCATTCCATATATGGCCCTTATCCACTTGGATCTCGGTTTTATAATCATCCAGCCTGCCATTGGCAGATCGCTCCACACCACCATACGTATCTAGATTACATGTGAGATAAATTCAATGCTGATATATCGTTTGCTATGACTCCAGCGCAACCTGAACAACTGCTTCGCCTACGATCTCGTCCCTTCCGTTGAGGTCCTCTCCGCCGCTCTCAGGGCCGCTCGCCGCGTCAACGACTTCCCCACCGCTGTCCGCGTCTTCGAGGGTGCGCTTCTCCCCATCTCTTCCCCTGCATTTTGCATGACTCTGTGAAACAGTCATAAACTCACACCCCTCGTCCGAATAGGTATCAAGGCCAAGGTCGAGACCCAGGACCAGTACAAGCAATACCTCGAGGCCCTCGAGGGTCTCCGCCAGGAACTCGGCGTTGCTCTCCGTGAAGAGCTCTACCCCGGCGAGCAGTAAATAATCGACCATAGTCTCGTCATGCCAAATCACTTTTTTTGTCCCACTGTGCCAGTCGATTAGATAGGAAAGCTGTATACATACTCTAGAATGCAGTTGGAGGAGGTGTCCCCCGTGTCTCTTTGATGGGTTTGCTCTATCCCTGTCTTCCGACCGGAGCCCTACTGTCTCGGGGTTTGAATGGAGGTGCACACGTGCTTTTCTATACCAGTGCTACTATTACTATAAATCTTGTGAGCATTTGATTGTACTCTGTATTATTGGAGATAGTGAAAATTCAAGCTGAGGGGTTGTTTTGATGTCCCACTGGACGCATAAAATGGATTCCTAGCGGCCGTGATATACACACTTTTCGCGTTGCTCAAAGTACATCTGTCAATATGCAGAGGCCAACGACGAATGCAACGAGGGGATATGGAAAACGAGATAATAAGCGACGGGATGCGCCGGTCTAATGTATCCTCATCACAAGAACAGTTTGGAATATCACGAAATATATAGGTACAACAAAAGGCCGGCAGCAATTCGATCAGGATAGCACAACGCGGCTAGATATCAAATATGAGACGATTTTAAAATAAATATGGGAATGAACATCGAACAAAAAAGACCATGACCGATCCGTTCAACGCCGCCAGGATTTTAAGAGAAACAAGTTAAAGTGCTTAGGGTCGTCAATGCTGAGTATGCGATGTACAATGGAAGAAACCAGTCGTGATAGTCGCGCACTGAGGTCGTTAGATGTCAGAGAATGGGACGTTCTCGTGCTCGAGGTGGACTCGCTGAGTCCCAAGTCTGATATTATACAGATCCATCAAGGAAAACCATGCCCGTTCGCTGCAGCTGACGCAACCAATCTCATGTAGAGCCCGGACGGTTGCTGGCTGTCGCTGCGAGCGCTTCCAGAGAATGTAATGAGATGTTACAAACGATTAGTGAGTTCCGACATGTTTGAAGTAGCTCGGTCGGCAATCTTCCTTGGCCAGGAAGGGCTCACCGGCGTAGAATTTGCCTGGAGTGCAGCCGGAGCACTTGGGCGAGTTGGGGCAGTTGTAGTAAGGGATATGGTTGTATCCAATGTCGCGGAACCTGTGATGACCAGCCCAGTCAGCGTAGAACGTAGGATATGGGACTGATATACGTACCAATGAACCTTCGCCGCATCTGCGAACAAACCCAGACCAATCGAGTGCACGGGAGCATCGCCCCATCGTTCATAGTAAAAGCCACCCGCGCGATCCAAATGATCGAAATAAGCAGAATACTTTTCTCCCCTGAAGAACTCCATGTCACCGATTTCGAAGTTGGACCAGAAGTGGCAAGTGGAGTATCCATTTGCAGCATTCGTGTGCTCTGGTCGCAATTGGTCGTCCGTCAACCAGTCCAGCATATTGTTGTCGGACAGATAAGTGGGGTTCGCGGCAAGGAACTTCTTCGTCTCTGGCCAGAGAGTTGGGATACTCTGGGGAGCGTCGAAAAGGTTGATGGTAAAACCGTATGTGATGTTGCGGTCCTCGACGAATCGGAACACATCATAATCCACGTCACAGAAAAACTGGACCTTCGGCTCGACGCGCCAGTAGTAACGGTAGTTCTTGAGGGCTGGGTGCTGATAGAACAGACCACTGTTCCAGCGGCACATTTGATGGTAGGATACCTTGTCGCTATACTGAATGCCCTGCTCCTTCAGCACCTCGGCGGATTCGCGGAAGAGGTCCATGTTGATCCAATCGGGGACATCCCAGTGTTCCTTCGGTACTTGTTCTGAGTATAGTTAGACCGACCGTGTCATGTATCTAGTTTCGATTGCTCATACCATATTGGCACTTCGCCTTGGTCAGCGCTTGGGTGCGCTTCTTGAACTCCTCCGTAAACGGCTTGTCGTTGAAGAAAATCCAGGGGTAATTGAATTTGCTGTTCCAGGTCCGTTCCAGATCGCGCATCGTCGGAATCAACTCTTCCAGCTCCTCGTTCCGGACGAGAGAGATGAGCGCCGCGTTGGTCCGGGCGGAGTTGGCACTGTCGGGGGCATAATCGTGCTCGTCGGCTCGCCATAATTGTCCTTCGGGTTCTCCGGTCGCTGTGAAGAAGAAGTTGTTGTGTCAGCCTCCGATACATACGGTACATATAGTATGAGACCGCCAAAGAGAAGTGGAAGGGAGAACATACGCTCCTTGAGGGGGTCGCTTTGGATGCCGGTATACTCCCCTTTGGACCCCTTACTAATGTTGGCAGTTGTAGGTCCCTTGTGCATTTGGAAGACTAGGAATAGAATGAGAATAATGCATGACGCACCCAGCATGCGAATGGGTCTTGCGACAGCCATCTTGAATTCAACTGAGTGCGAGACTGCAGCAAGCAAGAGACAGGCAGGAGGGCAAAAAAAAGAGACAGAATCGAGTTGGTATAGGAGAGACTTTGGTTGCTTAAGGTCTCGATGCCGCCTTTGCCCCAATGGGTCTAGCGTGGCGACTCAAACAACACGTCAACTGCCGCCGCCAATCAATACAAAAAGCCGCGTAACCCTTCCTTCATGCTGTCGCAATTCTACTAACGACGCAACTCCCCCTTTCGTGGTGATGGGCAATGGGGAATCTGTGCGCTAGCTGCTGGCTCAGTTCTGCAGTGAACCCCTCCAACCAACCGTTATGGCCATCCCCGCCAGTATTAGTGCGCTAACCGACGAGTTGGTTGCGACCGTCGCCAAAGTTGATAAGAGAAACCCCCGTTTCAAAATCCTGAAACGTCGTACCGAAGATACTCTAAGAGCGAATGCTCATGGCCGTACGAACCAGTTTGCGGTTGCGAAGCAGCTGGAGGGACTTCAGGAAAAGTTCCAGGTCCTCAATAAAGATGACTTAGCTGACGCTCTGCGCGCCCGTCTCACGGAGTTAAATGAACATCGGGACTCATGGTTTCCTGAGATCCTATCGTTATTGCTGCAGCTTGCTGATCGCCCGGCTCAGTTGTCAAAGGTAGATCGCATCGAGAGGCTTAAGCCCCAGGAGCACGTGGAATCCCTATCGTGGACAGAGTTAGATGTTTCCGGAACTGCGTATTGTGAGGAGGATATATGGGAATCTGTAGACTTCGGCGCTGGATCCTCCGAGGATGACCTCTCATCCGTATCAAGCGATAGCTATCATGGACGTTCTTTACCTCAAACCTCCATAGCCCTAGAAGAGGACTACGTGATCCCAGAGGACCTATTCTCTTCAGGAGAAGATGAAGACCTTGTGGATTCGATCAAAAGCGCCCAATTCTGGCGAAATGAAACCAGTGCCGACACTGACCGGCATGGAGGCAATTCCTCTCAAGTACTCACAGAGCTTCAGATCGTAAGAGAGACAATATTCATGCTACAAGGCCTACCTACATCCTTGTTTTGGCGTCTTCATGAAAGCGTCGAGGTAGACCGAAAATACTCACTCGCGCATTTATCAAGCCAAACGCTATCTTCATTGCTGAGTTCGTTCTGCTCAATTGGGTCTAAAATAGACATCTTAAGACGATACAACCAGGTCCCGCGGGTCATTCCCTACATGCAGACGTTCCACCGGGGCATTGAAGATCGCCTGCGCGAGTTTGACGGGTTCTTGTCTAACGTACAGTCACAGTACCTATCGCAATCCGGAACTATTGCGGTCAGTCTTCTGCAACTATACGAGAGCGTGCTCCGTGAATCCAAGCTGCTTCTTTTGTTAGCGGAAATTGTATCTAATCTCAGACATGCCGCATCGGATAGCCCAATACGTTGTCTTGACCTCCTCTACGACTCCGTCTGCATGACACAAGCCACCGGCGATGAAAATGAGTTCAGGTTCCTGGCTCAACTGTTTTTCTCGTGCTTCGAAACTTACGCACGCCCAATCCGCCTTTGGATGGAAAAGGGAGAGTTAGAGGAATCTCACCAGGGCTCCTTTTTCATCCGCGACAACCGCAATAATGACCAAGACCTCCGAACCTTATGGCATGGATGGTATACGCTGGATGAATCAGCATGGTTTTCAAGCGCGCCGAAATTTGTCCAACCTGTCGCTCGCAAGATTTTCGTCGCAGGCAAAAGCATGGTTTTCCTGCGACACTTGGATATGTCGGAGGACGAGACCCACGCAAGAAAGAGCTCCTTAACACTGGGGGATGTATTCCCGGAAGACTCCACCTCCGTTTACATGCCGTTCTCAGCATTACTCGACTCAGCCTTTGGGCGAATAGTCGACGAGAACCACTCTTTCACATCATCGCTGCTGCGAAGGGAGCTTGACCAGCAATGTGGGCTAGGGGCCTCCCTCCACGCGCTGGAGCATATCTACCACTGCAAAGACATGAGTGTGTTCGGGCCCATCGACCTGAAAATCTTCGACCTCATCGACCGAGGCAGAGGAGCCTGGGACGACCGATACCTGCTCACGGAACTTGCCCAGAGCGCATTCAGCACCTTGCCCTTCATCGACCCATCCAGAGTAATAGTCCGGTCGTCCAAAGACCCCACCAACAAACAAAACACCCACAGTCGCTCCGTCAAGCTCCTCCAAGCCATCTGCTTCGACTACATCCTCCCCTGGCCCGTCGCCAACATCATCACCAAAGACGCCATGCTACGCTACCAGCACCTCTCAACATTCCTCATGCAAATCCGCAGAGCAAAACACACCATCGTAAAACAACGTCTCCAATACTCCCCCCAACCCAGAAAAAACGCTCAGGCCTTCGCCCTCCGACACCACATGCTCTGGTTTCTCAACACGCTCTACAGCCACATCACCGACTTCGTCATCTCAACCACCACCACCTCGCTCCGAAAAGACCTCTCGGCCTGCAACGACGTCGACACCATGGTCTCCGTGCACCAATCGTACATGTCCTCCCTGGAAGACCAATGCCTTCTCTCCCAAAACCTAGTCCCCCTTTACGAAGCAATCATCTCCCTCCTCGACCTCTGCATCGCCTTCTCCGATCTCCAAGCTACTCGCCATACCCAGACCAACGCTACCCAGAAAGAGTACGGCCAGGACAAAGACCAGAGTGATGAAGAGGAAGACGAAGACGAGGAGCCCGAACACGATGATAGACACACGCCCGTTCACGAATCACAATACCTGCAGCAAGTGAAAACGACCCAAGATCAGTTCAATCAGCTTGTTGGCTTCCTGGCTGCGGGGTTGAAGGGCGTGGGTCGTGCGAATGCGCAGGTTAGCTGGGAGATTTTGGCCGAGCGGCTGGAGTGGAGGAAGGAGCGGACGGCGGATCATGTATGACTGTAAATTGTTCGCTGGGTTATGATAATGAGTACTATGACTCTGTTTTGCTTTTTGTTTGTGGTGCTTGTGGCTGGGTCTATTCACCTGAAGATAAGAACCAGACTGGAATGAAAGTGAGAACAATAAAATAAAATATGTAATTCATTGATAATTTACTTAAACATGCCATCGTATCAAGATTTCATCCTGGAACATTCCAAACCAGGGAAAATATAGAAAGACGTCGCAGTGACAACCAATTTCTACGGGAATAGATTTTCTTTTCAGGGATGAGGTATCCCACAAAGACAAACGATATGATATGACCAAGCATATACAATCCAGTTGCAGCTAGTAAAGTGAAGAAAGAGTTCAAACTTTTAACCGACCCATCTTCTGGCACTGTAGAAGACACGGCCCCAGGGACCGATGTCACCCCATTCCTGGGCCTTGGCGGGCAGCCAGCTGGCGATGCCGCCCATGACGGTACGCTCGGGGTGAGGCATGATGGCCAGGACACGACCGTCGGCGTTGCGGACACCGGCGATGCCCTCGGGGCTGCCGTTCGGGTTGAAGGGGTATTTCATGGTTGGCTTGAGGCCGGCGTTGTCAACGTACTGGACGGGCGCGAGACCTTCCTGAACGAAGGATTGGGCGGTGACGTTGGAAGATGGGGAGAACGAGGCACGACCCTCACCGTGGGCGACGGCGATGGGGAGCGAGGTGCCATTCATGCCGTGGAAGAACACGCTGGGCCGGGAGGGATCGGGGTCCGAGACACGGACCATGCAGACACGGCCTTCGTACTGCTCGCTGGCGTTGCGCTCGAAGCTGGGCCAGTTCTGGGCGCCAGGGATCAACTCCTTCAGACGGGACAGGAATTGACAACCGTTGCAGACACCCAGAGCGAAGGTGTCAGGGCGCTCGAAGAAGTTCTGGAATTCGGAACGGGTGTTCTCGTGCAGCAGGACAGACTTGGCCCAGCCTTGACCGGCACCAAGAACGTCGCCGTAGGAGAAACCACCGCAGGCAGCCATACCAACAAAGCTGGCAAGGGAAACACGTCCCGAGATGATATCGGTCATGTGGACATCGACGGCGGAGAAGCCGGCCATGTTGAAAGCGAAAGCCATCTCAGCCTGGCTGTTCACACCCTGCTCACGCAGAATAGCCACGCGAGGCTTGTTACTGAAAGGAGACATCGAGGTCAGGCTGGTGAGCATAGGGAGCGCCTTATCCTTGGGGTCGAACGTTGGGTTCCATGAGAGACCAGGGTCGGCGTCATCAAGAAGGTTGGCATATTCCTGATCGGCACAAGCGGCGTTGTCACGCATCTTCTGCATGTGGTACGAAGTGCTGGACCAGGTCTGCTGAAGGCTGGCACGGTTGTTGCGATACACTAAGGTGTGTCCGTGATAAATGGCAAGGTTCTGCTTCGTTCTCTCGGACACTCGTCCAATCTTGTGGATCAGGCCAGCAGGGGGGCCGCATGTGGCAAAGCAGGAGCGGAACTGCATTTCGTGTTCCTTGCGGACTTGGAACACAGCTCCAAGTTCTTCAGTGAACAATGTCTCCACAACATCCTTGGTGCCAGAGGTGGGGCAGATGTTATCGAGCATGACCTCGACACCGCAACGGCCGGCAAACATCATCTCGGCAAGAGTGGTGAACAGACCACCATCAGACCTATCGTGGTAGGCCAGGACAATGCCGGCATCCTGCAATTGTTGAGTAGCATCGAAGAAGTCCTTGAAGATTTCAACATCACGGACATCAGGACAGTCGTCACCAACCTGGTTGAACACCTGAGCAAGGGCAGAGCCGCCCAAAGTCTTGCGGCCGAAGGAGAGATCGACGAACATGAGGACGGTCTCACCGACGTCCTCGAGACGACGAAGAGCAGGAGCCCAGGTCTTACGGTAGTTGCCAACCGGGGCAAAGGCAGAGATGACAAGAGACATAGGTGCAGTAACCTCCTTCGCCTCCTTAGAGGCTTCATCAGTCCACTTCATCTTCATGGACATGGAATCCTTTCCGACGGGAATGCTGATGCCAAGCTTGGGGCACAGATCCATTCCAATGGCTTCCACGGCCTCGTAGATGGCGGCACCTTCACCTGGGTGGCTGCTAGCGGACATCCAGTTCGCGGAGAGCTTCACGTGGCTGAGACGGTCAACCAGGTCGGCTGCGGCAATGTTCATGAGCGACTCGGCAACGGCCATACGTGCCGATGCAGCAGGGGAGATCAATGCAAGACTCGGTCTCTCACCCATGGCCATGGCTTCACCAGTCTTCACCCCTTGAAGCAACGCTGTTGCAGTGACAGCGACGTCAGACACAGGAGTCTGCCACCTGCCAACCATCTGGTCGCGAGCAGTGAGACCGCCAACGGTTCGATCACCAATGGTGATGAGGAAAGACTTGGATGCCACTGCGGGAAGAGAAAGGACTCTGTTGACAGCCTCCCCGATGAGCTCGAGATGGTTGGGTGCAAGAGCAGGGAGGTACTTCGTGAGGGTGGCATCGACGGCGGGAAGTTTCAGTTTACGGGAATCAACGACCCGAGTCATCTTGGGGGGCTTGCCGAATAGAACGGACAGGGGCAAGTCGATGGGCTTGGGGTACTCCGTCGAGTCCCGGTCCATGAGAACGAGCCTCTTCTCCTCTTCGGACGTACCGCCTCCACGGCCAACGACGGAAAAGCCACAACGCTCACGGTTTGCAATCGCTGTGAACTTGTTCATGGAGTCCTCCCCAACAGCCATGACATATCTCTCCTGAGCTTCGCAGCACCAGATCTGCATGGGGCTCATGCTCTTGTCGGCACTGTCAATTTCACGAAGTTCAAAAGTGGCGCCCAGGCCGGAATCATGGATCAGTTCGGGAAGGGCGTTAGAAAGACCTCCAGCACCAACGTCATGGATGAACTTGATAGGGTTGTTATCACCCATAGCGGTACAAGCGTTAATCACCTCCTGTGCTCTCCGCTGGACTTCAGCGTTACCTCTCTGCACGCTAGCAAAGTCCAGCTCAGCAGAACCTTCACCCGAGGTAATACTGGAGGCGGCGCCGCCACCCAGGCCGATCAGCATGGCAGGCCCACCAAGGACGACGAGGAAAGCACCGGGCTTTACCACTTCTGGCTTCTTGATGGCATGCTGGGGTCGGACCGTTCCGACACCACCGGCAAGCATGATGGGCTTATGGTAGCCACGGACTTCCTTCTGGCCATTGCCAACGTCAATTTCCGTCAGCAGAGTACGGAAGTAGCCCGAGATGCAGGGCCGTCCGAATTCGTTGTTGAAAGCTGCGCTACCAATGGGAGCCTCCAACATGATATCCAAGCTGCTAGCGATGTGGCTCGGCCTGCCCACATCCAGTTCCCATGGCTGTTTCAAGCCAGGGATCTGCAGATCGGAGACACAGTATCCGGCAAGACCTGCCTTGGGCTTGGAGCCGCGTCCGACGGCACCCTCGTCACGGATCTCACCGCCGGAGCCAGTTGCGGCACCCGGGTATGGGGATACCGCCGTCGGGTGGTTGTGGGTTTCGACCTTGGCCAAAAAGTGAACAATTTCTTTCGTATGGTTCCACTCTCCGGTGGAAGCGTCGGGCGCCCAGTGAGCGGCGACGTCTCCCTCCAGAACCGCAGCATTGTCACTGTAGGCACTGACCGTGAACTCTGGGTTTTTCTTGTGTGTATTGCGGATCATCGCGAACAGACTGTTGGGCATTTGTTTCCCATCAATGACCCAGGACGCATTGAATTGTTTATGACGGCAGTGCTCCGAGTTGACCTGTGCAAACATGAAAAGCTCGACATCGGTAGGGTCACGGGCAATAGGACCATTGGGACCATAAGCCTCCGCAATGTACTCAATCTCCGACTCTTCCAGAGCCAATCCCAAGCGTTTGTTTGCCTCTTGCAATACTTCCTTCGGAGACTTGTCACTTCCGTGAAGGGGGACGGTCTCAAGGGGAAGACGGCTGTGCTCGGAAAACATCAGGTGGAGGTCAGGTTCTTCCTGGCTCAGAACCTGTGTCATGCGATCGTGCAGGACATCCTGGAAACCCGACTTGTATTCTTCGGAGTTCGCGCGGAGACACGAGATCTTCAATCCGCGCTCGATGCGGTCGACATACTTGCGCAAGCCACAGACGTGGGCGATACCGGTGGCCTGTGAACTCCATGGGGAAATCGTTCCCGTCCGCGGGAAGACGTAGAAGACATCGAACTGGCCGTCTTCGGCACTGAAGGTGGGAGGAATATCGGTAATATCACCATATTGCAGGAGCTGCTTCAGAACGTTCTGTTGCGGTTCGTCCAAGGGTTGAGCAGCATGAACGTAGTGAATCCATTGGGCTCGAACATCTTGAGCTCCAATGCTGGCCGCAATTGCATGTCCCCGGGAGTGCGAGAAGGCAACCGACCCGGGGAGGGCCAGAAAGGTGGAATCGGAGGAAGCGGCGGTCATTCTGAACGTGTAGGAGGGACCCGGAATGACTCAACGGAGGCGAACGAGAAAGGCGGGGACGGAAGGAGAAGAAGAATAGGATGGGACACTCAGGGGGAGAGGTCCAAGTGGTTGGAAGAGATGTGTACAGGGACACACCTCGAACGAGTAGTTCGACTGGCGATGAGGAGCACAGCGACGGGCTTTGAGCTACTCGTCCGTCTTGCTGTCTAAAAATTGATTCTTTCTTTTTGGGAGGGCGTGGGAAAAAGGCCCCGCGCTAGGCCGATTTCGTCTTATCACTTAACCTTATCAGTCACGTGGGGTCATTGCCCGGAGAAATCTTACCCCCGGAGGATTTCCTACCTCAGGTTGTTGTCATTTTACTCCAGCGTATGTGCATTGCTCCTCGTACCTAATCCACCAGGGTCATGATGGGTGGTTTGGGATAGTCGGATACATTTGTGTTGTGAGAAGATAGGTTCACACTACGGGGCAGACCCAGTGTTCCACTGAGCGCGTGTCCACCTTATTGATGGGGATGGCATTGCTTCAAGAGTCTGGAGTATGGGTCCATGGTGACCGTGTCCAAGTTCTCGACCTTGGAAGAACATCTTTCTAGACTACAGCCATGCACTGAGATTGGCTTTGCAGCACCAGTCAAGACTCAAGAGAGGAACCTGTACCGTGAGCAAAGTGGATTGGGTACTCTACGTCCACACTGCGGAAGATCGAATCCGAGTGAGACAATCTCCGTTCGGCACCGTCTCCATGGCGTGTGAAGTGGATACCTCCGAATCAAAGCTCATGACAATCAAGCAAAACCTGGAGCAAGAGAAGTCAAAGAAAGTGAGAGTAAAAAAAAAAGAAAAAAACAAAAAAAGAATTCCAAATGGCAGGACCTTTCCTCATACGGTAATACCCTCCGTGATCCGGTATTCCGATGACATAATGAGAATGGCATGGTGCCAAGAGCCTTGGCAGCGGATCTAGAATTCAAACTTTTATACTCATACCCGGGTGGATAGTACAAGCAGTCTGTAACTATCCACACGGATATCCGACCCCGAAGAAACCTTGGGTTCGACTAGTTTAAGCACTGACAACACCTTTGCCTTTTCTATTTCATAATTGAGGGATTTACCTTGCACTGGACGAGATATGTATGTTGAATACTTGTGGCAGTCTGGTAGATACCACAAGACTGATGAGGTTGTTAGGGTAACTACCAACTTGTATCCTGATGTGAAGAATATATACATAGATACCTCTATAATTTTTTCGTGTATCCAACAATACCGCTAAGACTCTATAGTATCATGTAATACCCCAATATACCAACTGTATACGTCGACAAGTTTGAAGTTCCAACTAATGACCTGGCCGCATAAGAGTTGACTGGGATAATATGAGGTATATCTCAATAGATTGGGTGTAGAAGGTGGGGGCAAACTCTGTTTGCGCATGGATTCATGCAGTTATCGCTCATGGATGTATGGAAGTACTGCATATGTAAAGAAAAAAAAAAAAAACAAAAAAAATGGAACAAAAATAACTCCAAAGATAATCAGTCACGAGCAGACGTTGCGATAAGCAGTGGCCTCGTAGCATCCTTCCGGATCCGGTTAGCGTGGCCTTCCGTATCGGGCAACATGATAGGAAACTGGAATTTGGATACAGAGCTGAGCTCGTGAGCTGCCATCTTGGGCATCTGCCCTGCATGGTATCTTTGCGAAAATTCGTGCCCCTTAATTTAGCTCCCAGAAATTGCGTTTGCGTGTCCACGGGTCACGCCTGAGCCTTGCGCCATGCGCTTCTATATAAGAGGCACATATGCCCCATTCCAAATCTTGATGATAGCCTCTTCATCGAACCAGTCCATTGCTTAACCTAGTGTTTTAGCCATAGACAACATGCCAGACAATCACTCAGGACACTCTTTTGATGCCACACGGACCCTCTCAGGGTCCGGGCAAGAAACAGAGTACTTGGATTTACCCGTGCGTCAAGTCACCCGCGATGCCAACCTAGAAGAATACACAACAGAAACGGCCGCCGGTCAAATCATCAAGCCCGTTCGGTCCGCTGCTTCGGGGAAGATGGAGGACTGGAAGCTAGTGACGTTCACCATCGACGATCCGGAAAACCCCAAGAATTGGTCCAAAGCGTTCAAATGGTATTGTACCATGGTGGTTGCGTTCACTTGCTTCGTTGTCGCCTTCGCGAGTAGTGTGATCACGGCCGACATTGAAGGACCGGCTGAGGAGTTTGGTGTCTCGCGAGAAGTCAGTCTCGTGGTGGTCACAGTCTTTGTCATTGGGTTTGGTGTTGGTACGTGTGTTGTGGTCATCCCTCGTTTGTTCGGATACTGACAAGTTAGGCCCGATGGCATTTGCGCCTATGTCAGAGATGTTTGGCCGTCGGCCAGTCTATGCCTTCACACTCCTCCTAGCGGTCATCTTCATCATTCCTTGTGCGGTGTCGAAGAATATCGGGACGCTCATCGTATGCAGAGCAATTGACGGCATTGCTTTTAGCGCCCCGATGACTCTGGTCGGTGGTACTTTGGCGGATCTGTGGAAAAACGAAGAGCGGGGAGTGCCCATGGCAGCCTTCTCCGCAAGCCCCTTCCTGGGCCCCGCCATTGGTCCACTTGCCGGCGGCTACCTGGCCGACGCCGCGGGGTGGAGGTGGCTCTACTGGCTGATGTTGATCCTGGCCTTCGTCTCCTGGGTGCTGATCAGCTTCACTGTGCCCGAAACCTATGCTCCAACGATCCTGAAGCGGAGAGCCAAGAAGCTCCGGAAGACAGAGAATGATCCCAAGTACGTGACTGAAACGGAACTGGACTCTCGGCCGATGGGTGAGAAGCTGCGCATCTTCCTCTTCCGCCCCTTCCAGCTGTTGTTTCTGGAACCCATCGTCTTCTTCATCTCGATCTACATGTCCGTGCTGTATGGTCTGCTGTACATGTTCTTCGTTGCGTAAGTTCACGTTTCCAATTCAACCAGGTGTACTGCCTTCTAACATGATTCGTTAGGTACCCCATCGTGTATCAGGGTGGAAAGGGCTGGAGTGCCGGATCGACCGGTCTTATGTTCATTCCCTTGGCCATCGGTGTCGTCATGAGCGCGGCTTGCTCGCCATTTATCAACAAGCACTATCTGTCGCTGTACTCCAAGTATGGCGGGAAGCCCCCAGCAGAAGCACGCTTGATTCCTATGATGTTCTCGTGCTGGTTTATTCCGATTGGGCTTTTTATCTTCGCATGGACATCATACCCGCAGATCCACTGGTTCGGACCTGCCATCGGTGGCTGGCCAGTGGGGTTCGGCTTTATCTTTCTGTACAACTCGGCCAACAACTACCTTGGTGAGCTTTTGCTGCCCTCTGCCTTCGAAACGTTCAGTACTAACGGGGATCGTAGTCGATACGTACCAGCACCAAGCAGCATCCGCCCTTGCCGCAAAGACTTTCCTCCGATCTATGTGGGGAGCATCCACAGTCCTCTTTACCGAGCAGATGTATGACCGATTGGGTGACCAGTGGGCCAGTACCTTGCTGGCCTTCATTGCGTTGGCCTGTTGCGCCATCCCTTACGTCTTCTATTTCAAGGGCGAGTCTATTCGCCGCTTCTCGCGATTTGCCTATAACGAAGATGAGGAGAATTCCGGCCAGATCGAGAAGAGCTAAAATGCTATCACTCTATGAGAACCCAGCGCATAATTTCCGTGCTACAAAAGATACTTTTACATTGAATTAGATGTAGATTTCCTGGGCTGGATTCCACAATTCCGCAAAGATTGGCACCTGGGACGTTGTTTGGACTTATGAGTGACATGTTTTGAATGTTTGGATTATATATACCACTAATATAGAAGATACACCCCGAGAGATGTTTAATAAAGTTAGTTCACTGAGAGAATTTAGCTCGTCGAGGCCTCGGAAGAAAAGCAAATGGTTTAACCTAGGTACGGCTAAGCCAGGTCTGACAATGGAACGTGAAAGTATTCCAAATATTACCAAGACCAACGTACGAGATACCGGCCAATTAGATGTATCTACGGAGGAGATGGTTCTACTCCGTACTATATCACCTCCTACTAATAATAAATTAATAATAGTTTATATATGTGGAGTACCAACGGAGTAGTCAGGTCGAAAATATTTCCAGTTTACCCACTTTCAAGAATTTTTTTTTCTCGAGGTACCTGAATTTAGGGATTAATACCGCTAACTGATAGGTACTGTGATCCCTAAGCTTAGATACTACTACTTCTATTACTACTAGTACCAGTACCAAGAATTATAAGACCCTTAGTTCGGGTATAAGCACTGAATTAAATTAATAACCAACCCTACTAGGATGTTATTCGTATTATAGAATAATAACTATATTTTATAGAGCTACTAAATCAGCGTGACTCAAGGTAAAACGCTAAGACTTCGTAAAAAATCCCCAAATCCTGACCTAAACTTTCCCCGCTCCGCATCACGTGGTGATTTCCCTTGCGGCCTTAGTCACCGACACGCCCGATAGTTGGGTCAAGTTAGTGCGACCGACCGTAGCATTTGTCTCCTCACCTGCCTTCACCAATTCTCGATAAGCTTGCCAAGTATTGAAGTTGTCGAAATTAAAATAATGATTTAAAACTATGGATCTTCCCTCGACTTAATTATGAAAGCGATCTCCTAGCTTTGAACCGTCCCGTATTCCGTCTATCCCGCCTCTTATGCGATTCCGTTCTTCGCATGAGTTGAAACACCGAAAAAGTTGAATCGCAGCACTGCAGTGACAACTCAACCTTAAATATTCCCAATGACGTCCCCATACCAGCCGTCCATGTCGTTTTCGCCGTCGGTGAACGGCCCCGACATGACGGCTGCACCCTCGAGACCTGTCTCCGACCTCCCGCAATCCCAAGTCGATGCGATTATCCGAACGAAGCGGAAAGCGCGCGAGCCCAAGGCGTGCTACCCCTGCCATGCGCGAAAGGTCAAATGCGATCGCAACCTCCCGTGTGATGGATGTGTCAAGCGTGACCATGCCGACCTCTGCTCGTACGAACGACCCTCCAAAAAACGCATCATGGGCGGCGCGGGCCCTTCCCAATATCGCGATAGCCCCGCAGCAACACCGGGCAGATCGGACAGCATCGGGCTCCCTGGACCGGCTGAGACACCTGTCCGGCTAAAACAGGAACCTGGCGTGGCGAGACCGAACCTGTTGACGTCTGCCGGGCGAGTCTCAATTGCGCGGGAGGAGTGGGAGAATGTGCGCAGTAGGCTCAAGGAGATGGAACAAACCATCACAAATCTGCGCGTCGGCCTGGAGAAGGCAGAAGAAGGACAGGCCTCCTCACTAGAGACTGGTAGCGTGCAGAGCGGCGATGCAAGCAACCGGTCCAAAGCCGCTTCCCCGGAGCGAGAGGGTATCCATGCAGCGAACACGCTGGGCGAAGGCACAGTCCACTTGGGATCGCGGTCTGTCCTCGCTTACATATTGAACAACAAGTCCGGCTCGGACCAGCTACAAGCCCTCCTGGAAGGTGGCATACTGCCGAAACTGGGTCTTGATAATGAATCCGCGACGTATCCGTTTGTCGACCTGTGGTCGTCTGATATGTCCACATTTGATATTAGCGCTGTTTGCAGTGCACTTCCAAGTGATCAGCAGTGCAAGGAGTATGTTCTAGAAACCGGTCTGCTCTCAAGTAGACTCGTTCTTATGCTAAACCATGGCTAGGTTTTTCTACTACTACCGGGACATAGCAGGTGCTATTTATCCTGTTCTCGAGGACATACCCAACTTCGAGCTGCACCTTGATCTGTTGTTGCGGAATAGGGCGGCTACCGGTGGGATATACCGCTCAGATAACGATCAAGCTCAAAAACCATTTGGCGTTTCTATAGCATTTCTTGGCTTGCTGTTTGCTGTGTTGGCCTCCGGCTGCCAGTCCTCTGATTTGCCCAGCAAGGAGAGAGAGCTGACATCTCAAGTTTATGGTGAGCGTCGTGTGTTCCACTTCCATCTGCGAACAGCTTTACTTATTGGACGTAGTATGTTGCTCGTACCAGTGTCTCCGAATGACCAACTTTTTATCGCACCCGACCATAGACGCGATTCAGACTCTCCTTGTCATTGGCAATGTTCTGTCCTATAATATGAACCCCGGCATTTCCTACGTTCTTCTTGGTATGTGGACATTTCCATGCCCAATTCTGCGCCAATCGAGCTAACCAGTGCCAGGCATGACCCTTCGAATGGGGCTCGCGCTTGGCTTGCATGTTGAATCAAGCCGCTTTTCCACAGCGGAGAGATACCGTCGACGACATTGTTGGTGAGTAGACTGCGCCTGCCGGCGTGATCGATGATGATTCTAACACTGCATAGGTGGTCCATGGCTTGGCAAGACAGCCACTTCTCGCTCTCGTACGATCGACCATCAACCACGGCCGTCTGCCAACCAGAGATAGCCTATAAGCAGGACTCAACGCCTGGCGAGTGCTCATACTTCGAAACTCTCTGCCGGGTTATATCCCTAGCGCTGGAGGTAGTGCGCAGCCGAATGCTCAATCCCCACGCACAGCTGAGCCAGAAGACCATCCAAGCATACAAAGAAAGGATCCAACACATCATGATCGAGGCGAAGCCTTACTTGCGTGACCGAAAGTACTGTTTCTCCACTTCCGAACACCTTGAGAGAGTCGTGCTGAAGCTACATTCCTCATACTTCGCCTCTGAGCTCCTCCGGCCGGCTCTCAAAATGACAGCCGACCCCAACGACCCGCTCACCACCAGTATGCGTTCGGACTGCGTTAGAAACCTGATGACCACGGTCGAAGCCTATGTTGAAATGCACTCGGTTAGCTCCCATGCGTCCCGGTCTTGGATTGCCTTGCAACGGGCGATCAGCTCGATTTTCTTGCTCGCCGTCACCGAAGAATCGAAGACGAACCCCCGGTTCTGGACGCTTTTACGCGAGATGAAGATGATCATTGCAGAACGGGCCAACGAGGAAGGCTTATTTGGTCAGGGAGATGCATCTGGCCTTCACCAAACGGAGCGCAACGGAAGCCTCACTGCGGCTATTCCTACCACCACCAACACCACGGCCACCAGCCCCGCCGCCCTAAGCTCCGGCTCCCCTGCGTCGGCTGCCGTCGTGGTCGACACGCAGACTCAGTGGGCGAAGCCCTTGACCAAGACCCTCCGCGCACTGGATAAACTCGAAGCCGCCTTCAGCTCTCACGGCCAGTTGCCAGCTGGCCAAGGCGCATATCTGAACCCAGCCACGGCATCCATGCAAAACCTGGTACCACCGGTTGCCGCCGCCATGACGCCGAGCGTCGGATCCCTTCCGCCGCCGACGCCCGAGAGTTCCACCAGCGGGGAGTGGACCATACCCAACATCCTTGACCGAGCTGCGGAGTACATCCACCCACCGCTCTGGAGCTGATCATCCGCCCTGTAGGGTTGATACTTGGCGTTATGAAGTGTTCGTTACGATTGCATGGACTGGCTTTACCAGGGGAGTATATATGCGTTCGGTTGTAAATCTTTGGTTGGCGTGGTGTTCATCTCGTATTGATGTGATCTTTCCTGTAAAAAAATAAGGTCTTGGTTTTAAATAGCTTATTTCTGAGATATTATCATGAAGCTTAATTGCTAGAAACAAGAAATATTCTGCAAACAGCATCCATCCGTAATCAGACACGTACATGAATCTCCAAAGCATTATCTTATTACCCCAAGCTACAGTACCCAAGAAACCCCCTCCCGGACCAAGCGATAGAACCTACTTCCACGATTATCGGAAGGAACCAAACGATCATCCAACCCCTCACCTCACTGAAAAAAAAAAAAAAAAAAAAAAAAAACCAGTACATGATATGACACCTACAAACCACAGCCCTCTCTCACCACGAGACCAAGTTGCGGTAGAGAACGGGATTGGAAGAAGGGACCTTGCCCCCCGCAAAACTGGGATTGCACAAGAGAGTCTGGCCACGAGGCATCATACTACATTTACCAAGATGAGGGGCATGGAGAAGGCGGGGAGGTCATGTTTGTGCGGGGGGTTATTGGAGATATGCTTATGTCTCAGGAGAGTGTGAGCTGGCCGGTGGAGGGTTTATGGTTTTAGCCTACAGCGTTGGGTGATGGATGTTATGGGGGACGGTTCGTGAAATATAACAACCTGCAGACTCACGAGCATGGCCTTTTCCAGTTGCAGAAGGAGAGCTGGTATATTCATGAATACCACATAGACAGCCAAACTATCACATCACCCCCACCACAGACTCATATTTCCGTTGTGCCAGTCTCAAGAGAACCCAAGTAACCCCCGGTCCGGCCAACAGAGACAAAAGACCCCAGAACAGCTGACCGGATCCCAGAAAGGAATGCCGACTCGGGGACCTCACACCCCCAGAGTAGGCATGTATGTATACTATGCGTGACTCGAGAGAATGTGATATCGCGCTGACAAGTTGTGGTATGGGCTGCATGAGGTGGAGAAGATGCCATCTTGGCGTTTAATGCTTGAACAGGCGTTCCGATTTGTTGAGACATCTGGGCCGGGAAGCCCTTCCCCGGTTGGATGGAGGTTGTAGATTTGGTGGCTGGGCTTAATATTGAATACAGTATACTAGCAGTGTGTGTCTGGTTTAGCGATTCTACTTTTGGGGGGGAGGTCGCTTTGGATGGGAAACGTAGATTGATTGAAATTAGGAAAGATAAACTAGAAACACCCATGTTGAGCCATTAACACCTTTATCTATGCTGGTTATTAGGAAAGATCTCCCCCCCATTTCTCGTGGGTTTCTGCTTCATGGCAGCTTCTGTTGGTAGCCATCCAGTGGTGATGAACCGTGCAATGGACAGATACTTGTTGAGGCTGTCGCGTGCATCCAGTCCACGGGAGACTCGGTCAGGAAGCCTCGGTTGTGACACTGGCATGTCAGGCCCTGCATGGGAAAGGCGCTTGGAGCTTGTGCTGCTTGTTCCACCGGCGAGGGAGGTTGAGATGTAGACAGTGGTGGAACTCCTGATTGTGGAGCGTCTGGTTGGAGCAGAATAACGGCCTTGGGCCTCAGATTTCCGGTGTCTAGAATCTGCAATATCTGAGGCAGCGATGCCTCTGTTAAGTGCCCGTCAGAGCTTATTCGTCGTATACATATGATGTAGGAACAGAATGGAGACTCACCGGTGGTCATGTAGTAGAAGTTGGACTGAGAGTTCGGGGTGTAGATATTCCATGGCTCCGTCTGGAATTGGCCATTCATGTCAGATGGGACGTAGGTATTCGCGGCGTTCGGTGCCATGTCCAGATTGAAGGAGCCAGCGCCTGGAGAACATACACTGCTGTTTGTGAGAGCAGACGGCGGAGATGAGCCCGACGAATCGACTTCTTTTGCAGTGGCTTCGTACTGAGAAAAGGGTGGTGAAGGCTGTGGTGGTAGGGGAGGCGCTGGACTCAGGGTGCTGAAAGGGTAGTAGGTACCCGTCGAACCAGGCAGATAAGAGCCACTCATCGCAGGCATAATCTCGACAGCAGGAGATAGGCCCTTTCTCTCGACATCGTACGCTGGTGTTGTCGGGGTTGCCAACGGTGCTGTAGGATGGTGATAATTCCAACCATTGAGGCTTGCCGCGGCTCTGAGCTCACTCGCGATTACCCGCTCCTGTAGTTTGGCAATTCGGTCTCGGATTTTGCGACCTGTGCAGGGTAGTAGTGTTAGAGCCACACTTTCTGCTCAAGGTGGAAGTGATATACTCACGATGATTCCTCTGGGACAGTCTGTTCTGTAGCCTTCTTCGTTCGATGGGGTCCTGTTCCTGTTTTGGGTTTGCCACGCCATTGGCACGATCGTCCCTCGCATGCTGTGCGCGCATTTTGCCGTGGGGATATATGTTGAAAACCACTCCACTTCGCTCACTCTTGTGATTCCGCCTCTGACTTCTTTCGCACTGCGCGGAGCCACCGCCTAGCCTAGAGAATTGTAGCACGTGGGATGACGACGCTTCGATGGCAATGGAGATGCAGTTCTGTGTTGAAGTACGGCGAGGGTGTAATGGCAATGAGCGGTGACCAAACTATATATAACTACTATAAGTTCCGACAAACTTGGACGAGACCAACCTAGGGGCAGCCAGACTTAACCGGTGTTCTGATAAAAAAAAGTCTGACGTGTTCTCAGCTTATCTGGTTCTGGTATATCAAAGTATAAGAGTCCGAGAGACGACAGTTGATTTGCTCGTCGGCTCAACGCGCCTGGGAGTTTACGAGAGCTGGTAATAGATTGAGACAATGTTCCGGGTATATATGAGAAAGGCCCCGGGAGGAAAAAGCGTAGTTGAGCTCTGGGATAAGGTGTGTAGATATCCACGGAATTGACTTCTTCCAATTGCTCCATCGTTCCTGGCTTTACGGGCACTAGTGAATATTATGTCTCGCACCCATGGTACTGGATACTTGAACCGTGGCCCCCGATAGCCACGAGGTACTGAGCCCTGTTCCCTTCCGATTCGCGGGGTGTGCTGTTCAGACACCCAAGTAAGTAGCCATGCGGGACGTATGAGGCTTGGAGCGGCGCCAGCTCGGCGCACCAGTTTGTTCCAATAAGTCCTGACAAATGGTGTTATGGAACCTGCGTTGATAGGACGGAGGAGGGATATTCGTGCGGATAATTCATGCACGGCTCAGCTGATTTGCTCGCCACCAGTGCTAGGGCTCGCCAGCGTGACATTTTCTTCAGCCGTGTGAACCGTGACACATGAAATACGTACTTTTGATTTGGTTGCAGTATCTTAAATTATGTTCCGTGTCGGCGTTTATACTCGAGTATCGCGCAACCTACAGGGGTTCACAGCGAACGCTTGCAGGTCTTCCGCCGAGGTTTCCTTTAGGAAACCAAAGAAGCCGGCACTATCGGAGAGACGCAATCAAGGAGATGACGTACCCGGAACAGGACCAGAATATCAGTACAATTCTCAATCCAACATTGAAATGCGAAAGCAAAGTGATACCCCAGAGGGGGTGGGTCCAGAGAAGGTATTGCAGTTTGTCCATGTGGGTCAGTATAGCTGGGGTACACGGGAACTTCCTCAGATAGCCATGAGCAAGACACTGATGGCGACATTCCGCGCTATGAATAGCTAGGGTTTAATTCGCTTAAAGGAATCGCAGGCGAGTGGCGTGGCGAATTGTTTCATGGAAGCACAGGGCATGTCATGGAAAGGTAAAATAAAAGAAGGAACCTGAAAAATGGGCACGGACACGAATGATGAAGGTATCTGAACTGAGAATGCAACCTCCTCCAAATTGTAGCATTGTTGCTTTCTCAGTTCCATTAACAGTGCATCATCACTGGCATGGCGCAGGATAAGCCCAACTAGATGCTGATCAGCCGTCAGCATTTCAATGTGGTTCCCGTTGGATTTGCAACTGGCCAGTCAATCATTGCTTGGCTGGAGAAGCTGAAAAATAAGTATCCATCTGAAAATGTACTGAGGCGATTGGCCGGAGTGTCGCCAGTCCCACGGTGGAAGACGCGGGCATAGATTTCATTTGGTGGAGAGTCAGGGGTTCGTATTCGAAAGGGGAAGAATCTGTAGGCCCTAATTGTCTTAGATGGACCGAAGACGAACGCTTGTGTCACCCGGCAGAGTGGATTAAATGAAAAGATTTCTGGTGTTGAAGAACCATTGAAGACCCCCGTTTTGCTTTTTTTTTGTTTTTTTGGGCAGACAAGATCCCGTGACTGAGGCAGCAACAAATCGATCATAATGGTAATACTATCACAATGAGAATTGGCCGCATTGGAAGTATGACTGCGTGTCCGATCCATGACGACGCAGGGAGTACAAAGTAGATGAACAATAGGTTTCATCATGAGGTGGCTCAGATTGAATCGCACCCAGTACCATGGTAGGGCTACTCCACGTTATTCCAGACGTCGTACAGGTCATGTAGTATCTGCTTCTAGGGCTAACCCGGGCTTTTGTTCAATAATAATTTGAATACCTTGGTGATTAACAGACGATAGGCAGCCAAATTGCTTCCTGCTCATACCTCCAATTAACTGAATTCTACTATCTAAACTCACTCTCGGTCACTTTATCTAACCTCTCCTGTCTTGCTCACCGAGAATTTTCCTGAGCTAACAAGCAGTCTATATTGACTTCAGCGCTGGGATGATAAGAGAACTAGACATTTTCGATCATTGTTACCTTGACATTGAGCGGCGATATAACGACATGCAAAACATCATCAGCACAATTAGCAACCTGCTACCATATCGACATCCTCCATAGCGTCGACTCTTCCAGATAACAAAACCTTGCACGCTTTCAACCAACACATGTCTCATCGCGTTTAAATCCACCAAAGCTTCATCAGGACGAAGCTATGTTACCAAGCGCCCCCCACATGCGAGTTTAGCACACCCCAAAGAC